AGCATTTATTATGATGATTCTTTGGTTTTTCTATCAATTGAATATATATTAAGTTGAAATACTAGCTCACATGAATTATTGTATGAAACAGATTAAAAATTAGTTAGATTTAACAATCATACATTTTTTTATTACAAAAATATATTTATGTAATATAATATCATAGTTTTGTTTTTGTTTTTAACGTATACAATTCAATTTGAGTGTAGTACACCTATTAGAAATGTATGAATGTTTAATTGTTAGGTCTCTAATTTTTGTACGCTATCTAATACACATTGGCAAATCGACATGACAAGGTCACAACTTCCTGCGACTGACCATTTTCACGTCGTCTGGTCCCAGCATTGTTTTAAATAGCTCGCTATTGCTCGCTATGTAGCTTTTTTTTTTTTTGAGAAAAATGCGACGTAGCCTTATATATTTAGCATTCTTCCTGAAAAGCTTACGCGAAATGTTGAAACGATACACTTTCTTATATTATTTTGCGCTATTTCACGCTATTGTGCGCTACGTTGCGCTATATTTCTGCAGCTACATTTGAACAATAAAACATTCAACAACTCGTATTTTTGGGATCAGAGTCATATTTACAAATGACAACTAAAAACTAAAAATTTTGATAATGATTTCAAATTAAAAGTTTGGAAATGCAAAGTCCTAAGTTGAATAGTGCAATATTCTTTGTCCATTTTTGTTATATAATTTTATTTTTCGAATAAAGAATAAAAAATTCATATCCAATTGTTAGAATTAAGTTGTAGTCAAACAAAAAAATAATAATTAAAATGACTTACCTCACTATATTCTCGTTGTTTTTTTTTTACTTTTTAGTATATTCGATTTATTATTAAATATATTTATTATGATGATATTTACTTTAAACTTTTGTGGGAATTAATCCTTAGATGTTATTTTTGAAGTCACTCAAATACTATGATAATTTTTGTAATCAACCATCCATTTTTATTATATGCAAATATACTTGTAATATTTATATATAAAAAAAAAAAATTATACTCAAATAGCTTACGCAACACGCAACGCTATTTACGCTACGCAGTATAAAGACCAAAACGCGACGCATTACTCGATACACGTTTTAAAACACTGGGTCCCAAAAACTTAGACCTTTGTGGTGCATAAAATACGTCGATCTGAATTAACTCATTAAAAGGCTATGACATGGACAACAAATCCACATTGACAGTGTCACAAGATCCTTGCATACAACGCCTCCTAAAAGCACGAAAGCACATCATAATGGAACCATCGGACAAACATTGGTTCCTACACCGATCTCACTTCGGGCTACAAACGCATCAGGCCAAGGTTACTATGATATAAAAAGGCAACCTTCCCAATGTACAGGGTTGCAGATATAAGTAGGTCCTAAATGTCATAGTATAAAACCGATAATGAAAATGTTAAAAGATGTCACGATGGTCTATGTAGGATGTACTATTAATGGGTATCTCACTGAATGAGGTGAGAAATAATTGTAATTGAGAATTCATGTTGATCTTCTTGAATTATATTTCTAGATCTCTTTTATACTTATGTTATTTAGGGTGAAAAAGCATACAAGTTACTACATTGGGCATGAGGTCTTTTATTATCTAAATAGACACAGGTCTGGCAATAATTGCTTCATGGCTTTAAAATTAGATATGGTTACAGCCTTTGACAGTCTGGAATGGAAAGCGGTTCAGCTGACAATGATAAAAATGGGCTTCTCTCATTTATTTGTAAAATGGATAATGGCGTGCATTCAGTTCCCAACATTTTCTTTTAATATCAATGGCAAAGTTTGTGGTTTTATTACAACTTCAAGGGGGATTAGGCAGGGGGATCCTTTGTCCCCCTACCTGTTTATTATTATTTCTGAGCTTTTATCTGCTAAAATCTCCAATGAAGCTGAGAAAGGAAGCTATAAGGGAATTAGATTGTCCAGGGAAGGCCCTCTACTCACCCATTTGTTGTTCGCAGATGACACCTTGTTGTTCTGCAAAGCAACTGAAAGCCAAGCACATAACATTCTTAACATTCTGCATTCTTATCATTACTTTACAGGACAACAAGTTAATATGTCTAAATCAACTATTTTTTTTAGCAAAAATACATCTCAAGAAATGCAAAGCAGATGTTGTAACATCCTAGCTAGGATCCAAGTTCACAATTCCACCAGATATCTCGGACTCCCGTTGGGCATTGGCAGATCTAAACGGGAATCCATTGATTACATTCTTTATGTGGTAAGGAAAAGAATTCTTAGCTGGAAAAACAAATGGCTTTCCTCAGCAGGTAAGGAGGTGCTAATAAAAGCAGTTTTAAATGCCTTACCTGCATTTGCAATGTCTTGTTTTGTTTTGCCTTTGGGTATATGCAAGGAAATAGCTAGAGCATGCAGTCAATTCTGGTGGGCCAAAAGCAATGACTTACAAAAAGGAATTCATTGGGTGGCATGGGACAATCTCACTCTGAGCAGGAAATGTGGTGGCCTTGGGTTTCAAGATATTCACTTGTTCAATGTTGCCCTCATTGCCAAACAAATATGCAGATTAGTGACCCAACCCGATTCACTGGTTAGTAGAGTCTTGAAATCTAAATACTTTCCAAATTCTTGTATTTTTTATGCCCACAGGACACAAAATGCCTCGTGGCTATGGAATAGCTGGCTCTTTGTCATGAAGGATTGTGCAAAATTGATGCAAGTGGAAATAGGGAATGGATTAAACACAAAAATATGGGATCAGCATTGGATCCCCAACCACATTGGCAAGCCAGTTCCACTTCTTCTAGTCATTGACAGAAACATTAAATGTGTGAGAGATTTACTTTCATCAGATGGCTTACATTGGCAAGAGCACAAAGTGAGAAATACTTTTTCTCCTGAAATTTGTGAAGAAATCCTTGCAATTTCTACTCTTAATCCCAATCAGGCAGATAAATGGATTTGGAACTTGCATAGAAAAGGTACTTTCTCAGTTAAATCAACATATTCTCATTTAATATTTCAGAAATTCCTCCATATGAATCAGACACAAGGCAGCAATTCCATTTGACTTGACTTCAAAGTCAGAGATAGAAGCTGGAAGATTAAAATTATGGGGAAAGTCAAACATTTTATTTGGAGATGCTATAATGGAGCTTTACCCGTGGGCATTAACATGAGAAGAAGAGGATTGGATGTAGATGCTACATGTCCAGTTTGTGGAGAAGTCGAGGAGTCCATAGAGCATGTTCTTTTTCATTGTCAACAAGCTCAACTAGTTTGGAAGCTTTCACCAGTTAATTGGAATGGACCACAGCCACAAGATTCATTTAAAACTTGGTGGTGGCAAGTATGTCAACTGGATAAGAATGACACAGCAGAAGCTCGACTCCAATTGTCCACCTACATTCTTTGGTGGCTTTGGAAATGCCGAAATCTATGGGTCTTTGAGCATATAAGAAGACTAGCACATCTCATTGTACAAGCTGCTATTCAGGACTGGCAGAACTTCATGGTTAATGAGGAATCAAAGTCGAACAGTTAGATGTAGTTGCCTTATATTTCTAGTCGTTTTCTTTTATCTTTTTTCCAATCTTTTTCTTTATCTTTTGTATTTTAGTAAATGAACAAGAATAAGGACTTCAGTTGTGTGTAACTGCCTTATTCTTGTATGGATTCTATTCAGTTGCTCTCTAGGCCACAATTAGGTGGTTCTCCCATCTTTCGGATTTTTTTGTTTGTAATGTACGTTATTGTGTTTCGATTTAATGAGAATATCTATCGATTGGAAAAAAAATTATAAACAATTAATTGCTTCCATCGCATGTGATTTGCACGCGGATTATAAAGATGCAACACCACACCACACGAGGTGAACAGAGGAATGCGAGTATTCAACCAAAGAAGACATTGTACCAACATATATAAGTAATAGGTTGACTCAAGTGATAAGCAGTTTGATGTCGTTTAAGCAAGGTCTCGGGTTCGAGTCTTTGTGGATGAAAAAAAACCTTCGTTGGGAGACTCACCTACCACTGTCAGGTGTGCGACGCGGGTTGACCAACGGATTAGATACCGTGGCTGGCGAAAAAAAAAAAAAAAAAAAGACTACAATGTACTTGAAGATTACGAGATAAGGCAATCCAAAACATTCAAAAGAAATGGTACACAATTACTTCTACTTACTAAAAGAATGCATTGGTCAAGTTAATATTTCACCACGTTTAAAACATATACATTTTTACGATCTACACACTAAAATGTTATTTATAGCCCGTGGACAGTATCGAAGGTGGGGTTCTAATCAATTCAATGTTCTTTGATGAGTTTTGTCCTTCGGCATTTTAAATATTGCAGGAAATTGATATGCGATTGTCGAAACAGTTCAATTTAGACGTGGTCACGGGCCACCCGGCCCGTTCGAGCCCATTGACCACGTGTCCGGGCCCAGCTAGGATTTCTTAACCAGGTCGGTCCTGGCCCTTGTTTTTTTTACCCTAAACCGGAAAAATTACATGCTTTAAAAAAAACTCATTTTCTTCTATAATTGGACGTGCCCAGACTTGGCACGACCTGGGTCCGTGCCGATTCCGAGTCAGCCTTTCCAAGCCCGTCGGCCCGCCGGTTCGGGCCCGGTTTCCGCCATGTCTACAGTTTCATCAAAAGTTGCAACCCATACCCCCATCAAGTTCATAAAATATTTCTTTTATTTATTTTTCCCATAATATTCCATAACTTTTGTTTTTTTTAAAAAAAAAACAAAAAACAAAAAAAACTTGAACAAAAAAGCAAAAGAAAGAGCATTTACTGAATTAGTTCTCACGAGGCCCAGTGAGTTTAAATCATCACCAACCTGCCAGAGCCATACCAAAATAAATGCACCTCAATAACTTATGTAATATGTCAAACACATTTTAACCCCCTCTTTGTGACTACTTTCTTATAAAGGGCTATAACCAAAGCAAGATCACATAAAAAAAAAGACTCAAGCTCAAAGAGCTCATAAATGGGAGAAACAGAACTTTGCTGCCACAAACCATTGTATCCTCATAACCAGCTGCTCGTGCTGCCTTTTGTCTTCGTGCTTTTTTTCCCTCCATTTTCTTCGAGTTTTTCTTTCGACTTTTATGCCACGTCATGCCCGGCTGCTGAGATGATGGTGAAAAATACCGTCCGATCGGCTTCCGATTTGGATCCAACGGTTCCCGGAAAGCTCCTTCGCTTGCTTTTCCACGACTGCTTTATTGAGGTCTGCATTTTTTATTTTTTTTTCCTTTCTTCCCTTCTTTCTTTTGTAATTTTGTTCTGTCTTAAACTAACTGCATTCTACATATATTTCTGTGTCTTTGGACAACAGTAAATTGCGGTTTTAGTCCTATATGTTTCGCTACCTTAACTTTTTCTGTCTTCTTCGAATTGCTTTTCTGATTTCCGTCTCTTGCGTTTGTAAAAAAGTTACAAAAAGGTCCTCGGCAGAGACGAAATCAAAATTTCTTTTGCAAAGCATGAAGGATTTTTTGTTGCGAAAAAGACCTTTTTTTTGCAAACATATGAGAAGAAAATCAAGAAAGTAATTCGAAAAGGACAAAAAAATTAGAGTAGTGAAACATACCGGACTGAAAATTACAATTTACTCTTTAGGACAACTATATATATATATATATATTGTTCCAATTTTGTTGCTCAATGAAGAGAAATCAGAGTAAAAACAACTTCATTTCACAAGGATTTTAATTCCTTACAAATTCCATGGTGTAATTTGAAAAAATATAAAGAACTACACAAGTGACTTATTAATTTGCATTTTGTAGACATAGTTCTTCAAGGGCAATATTTGGAATGAAACCTTCATATTCATATATGTCAAATTCTAACAGAAGTGCCTATTAAACTGTCCCATTATTTGTGAATTCTAAAGGAAAACCATGTTCCTAAATGTTTTTCAGGTGTCTTTTCTTATATGAGTTATATGACATTTAACAGGTGTATCATGTTCTGCTAACAGGGCTGTGACGGATCTGTGTTATTACAAGGAAATCGAACCGAAACAAGCGATCCAGCAAACAAATCTCTAGGAGGATTTTCAGTGATCGACTCGGCTAAACGAGTGCTCGAAATTTTTTGCCCCCAAATAGTGTCTTGTGCTGATATACTTGCATTGGCCGCTAGGGACGCCGTTGAATTTGTACATCAAATGCGATCCAATTATACACAATGCTTTCTAATAATCAATGTTTTCATAGAATTGGATTAATTCAGCATATATTTTGTGAATTTCTACTTAACAGGCGGGCGGACCTAATGTTAAGATCCCGACTGGGAGGAAAGACGGTAAAATTTCTGTCGCTGCAAATGTCAGACCGAACATTATCGACACGAGTTTCACGTTAGATGAGATGGATAAGGTTTTCTCTGCCAAGGGATTATCAATGGATGACCTCGTTACTCTTTCAGGTACACGATTAATGTACATTTTTTTTTTTACGTGCAGTAATTAAAAGTGTCGATTTTACACCCATGATACATGTAAGTGTGGCACAACAATGTTATCGGAAAATTTATGATAGGACCATGCTAAGCATGTGAACCTACGTACGCGGTGCCTTTTGAAAGACAACGTGTTTGGCCATCACTCATTACTCATTCGATGGCAGCATTTAAGATCTTTTATCATGTTTTGTAAACAAAATGTAGGTATGTAGTTTTTGTCATTCAAGTCCCTTTCTTTTTTGGGCAGGAGCACACACAATTGGAAGATCTCATTGCAACTCATTCAACGACAGATTCAAGCTCGACTCTAACGGAAACCTCACACTGATTGACTCGTCCTTGGACCGACAATACGCATCCCAACTCACGAAAGTGTGCCCGGCTGGCGCCAGTGATGATTCAATCACGGTCGAAAACGACCCTGTTTCACCACAGCAGTTTGACAACAATTACTACAAGATTCTGTTGGAACACAGGGGACTTTTCCAGTCAGATTCCGCGTTGCTTAACGATGTAAGGACAAGAGATCGGGTGCTGGAATTTGCAGACAATCAAGATAGTTTCTTTGAGAGCTGGGGTGTGTCCTTTCTGAAACTTGTTAGTGTTGGTGTGAAGACAAATGAAGATGGGGAAATTAGGCAATTATGTTCTGTGCCTAATGGATGAATTTGCTAGCATGAATATTTGCAGCAAGCTTTTGTGAAGTGTGCGGGAGAGCGTATGAGTGCGACTTAATATTGCAACACAAAATAAAATGTAGACGCGATTTAAAACAAATTTGTATCCACATAGTTTCTCGCTTCCCTTTTTAACTCTTTCACTAGAAAATGGTTGTGCACCGTAATGTAGTACAAATTTACGAGACTAGAATTCCTTTCTAATCTAATTATCTCATACACTCTACTTCCCTAGCTACTTTCGTGGACTTCAAAACCTATTGTGGATCTTTTAATTAGTACACGAAATCTTATCCCAGGTGTCGTAAGAAATGCGTTAAAATAATTAATGCTTAGTTGGAATAATGATTAATGATTAGTTTATTGTTAATTAGTTGGAAGATGCTTGTATTAGTTGGCGATTGTAATAATTGGTGTCTAGAATTATTCATTGTATGCTATATATGTGTTCGGAATGAGCAAAATGCAAGAAGCAAAAGCAAGAAATCAAGAAACAATTCATAATTTCATATACTACTCTCTTTTACTATATTTTGTTCCCATATACTACATCTCTTCCCATATATTTAAATCTTAATATTTATTTTATAAATATTTTTTTTATACCAACAGTGGTATCAGAGCCAGGTTGGATCAATAGATGGGCGACATTATTTTCAATATCCTCCAGTTTTTACATATTTTGTCCAAATACCCCATTTTTCACATATCCTTCTAAATTTTTATTATGAAAACTTCCCATAAAACCCATCAAATAGCAATTCCTATTTTTCCCGGCGAAAATTATAATTATTGGGCCATTAAAATGAGAACATATTTTATGTCTCAAGGCCTATGGAATATTGTCGAGAACGGGTATATTATACCCGATGACATTTCCACTTTGTCCACGACGGACGAAGAAAAATTCGACCGGGAGAAGGAAAAAGATAGTTTGGCCCTTTTCACACTACAAATGGCCATGTCGGAGTCCCTGTTTCCAAGAATTAGCGGAGCACATACATCAAAGGAAGCGTGAAATACTCTAAAGGAAGAATATCAGGGTAGTGACAAGGTACGTCATCTGAAATTACAAACTTTGAGAAGAGATTTGAAAAATATGAAGATGAAAGAATCTGAGACCGTAAAAGATTACTATACTCGATTAAGAGAAGTAGTAAATCAATTAAAAGCATATGGAAAAAATATTGCTGACAAAAGGGTGGTAGAAAAAATTCAAATTACTCTACCAGCCAAATATGATCCTATTGTCACGACAACAAAAGAAACTAAATATTTGGATCATTTGTCAGTGACAGAATTAATATGTTCACTTGAAGCCTATGAAAAAAGACTGAGTATGCGTGAAAATGATACAGTCGAAAATGCATTTCAGTCAAAATTAAATTTACGGTCTCAGAACTCTAAATTGGGGGGAGAAGATTTTGAGAAAATAATAAAAATAAAAATCAAGGTGGAAATAATAATAATCAACAAAAAGGAAAATATCCACCTTGTGGAGTTTGTAAGAATACCAACCATCTTGAGAAGGATGTTGGTACCGAGATAAATCACAATGTAAAAATTGTGGTAAATTCGGTCATATGGAAAAAAATTTCCGCATTAAAAGATATCAAGCAAATTTCTCTGAAGAAAATGAAAAGGGAGAAAATTTGCTATTTTATGCAACACATGCAAATTCAGAAGAAAAGAATGATATTTGGTTTCTAGATAGCGGTTGCAGCAACCATATGACTGGAGATGAAAAGAAATTTAAAAATATTGATAGATCTGTAAAATCACAAGTTCGGTTAGGCAATGGAGATTTAGTAGAAGTTGAAGGCAAAGGTTCAATTGAGGTCGAGACTCAAAAAGGTACTCGTCTCGTTGAAGATGTACTGCTAGTACCAAAACTTGATACTAATTTACTCAGCGTGGACTAATGGTGGAAAGGGGATACACACTACTTTTTAAAGACAACTCTTGTACCATTTATGACAACAAAAACAATCCTATAGCTGTAGTAAAAATGCAACAACAGAGAAACTTTCCGCTCCGTTGGAAATTCATAGAAGCAGCACTAAAAGCCGAAGAAGATCAATCCTGGCTATGGCATAGAAGGTTCGGGCACTTCAACTTCAACGGGCTAAAGTTACTCCATCATAAAAATATGATGAAAAATCTACCGGCCATCCAAATGAATGACAATCTCTGTGAAAAGTGCATGGAGGAAAAACAACATAAGAAACTATTTCCTTCAATCCAAGCAGGAAGAGCCAAACAAATATTGGAGCTAGTGCATACAGATGTGTGCGGACCAATGAGGATGCCAACCTTCGAGAAAAACATGTACTTCATCCTCTTTATTGATGACTTCACAAGAATTACTTGGGTGTACTTCATGAAAGAAAGATCCGAAGTCTTCTCTATTTTCAAGAAATTCAAAAACCTCGTCGAAAATCAAAGTGAAAGAAAATTTAAAGTACTTCGGAGTGATCGAGGACATAATATACATCCAAGGTGTTCAACAAATTCTGCGAGGATGAAGGAGTCAACCATCAGCTTACTGTCGGCTATGCTCCAGAGCAAAACGGCGTGTCAGAAAGAAAAAACAGAGCAGTGCAAGAGATGGCCAGGACAATGCGTGCGGAGAAGAACATGCCTAAAGAATTTTGGGCTGAAGCTGTATACACTGCAGTCTATCTACTCAACAGGTGTCCTACTAAAGCTGTCCAAAATAAACCTCCAATAGAAGCTTGGAGTGGACGAAAGCCATCTGCCCAACATTTACGAGTCTTTGGGAGTATCTGCTACGTGCACATCCTAAAGGGAAAGAGACACAAACTGGAGGAGAAGTCTAATAAAGGCATATTCCTCGGCTATAGCTCTCAATATAAAGGCTACAAAATTTACATCCTCAAGACTGGTAAACTAATTATCAGTCGAGATGTTGAGTTCGATGAAAATGGTGCGTGGAACTGGGAGGAAGAAAAAGTCGAATACCAAAATATCATGGTACCTACATGGCGGAGGCAAAATACCATACCAAAAGAACGCGAAGATGAAACAGAAGGTACACAATCACCTCCAGCTCCACAACCTTCGAGTCCGAGGACAACAATACCATCAACTGACGAACTGTCATCCCCAGAATCACCACCGAGAAAAGTACGAACACTCAGGGAGATCTACGAGACATGCAATTTTACCACCATGGAACCTGAAAGCTTCGAAGCAGCAGTAAAGGAAAAGGAATGGGTAAAAGCCATGGAAGAAGAAATCAAGATGATCGAAAAGAATAAAACTTGGGAGTTAGTCGATCTACCGAACAACAAGGAAGTCATTGGAGTTAAGTGGGTTTACAAGACGAAGCTTAACCCAGATGACTCAATCCAAAAGCATAAAGCACGACTGGTCGCTGAAGGGTGCTCACAACTTCCCGGGATCGACTACAATGAGACCTTCGCTCCTGTTGCTCGGCTAGACACTATAAGAGCTCTAACCTCACTTGCAGCTAAGAAGAAATGGAGAATCTACCAGCTTGATGTCAAGTCAGCATTTCTCAATGTCTATTTAGAAGAGGAGATCTATGTCGAACAACCTCAAGGGTTTGTGGCAGAAGGACAAGAAAATAAAGTCCTTAAACTAAAAAAGGCAATTATGTTTCGGTCAAAGTACATATGTTTGCAGTTTATTTATTTATGCAATA